CAGCTCCAGTTGTGAGGCTGAGATCTATGCTGGGGCCATGGCTGCACAGGAGCTACGCTGGCTCACCTACCTGCTGACCGACTTGGGAGAGGCGCCACGTTCTCCTCCAGTTCTGTACGTCGACAACAAGGCTATGCTGGCCTTGTGTCATGAGCACAGACTGGAGCACAGAACGAAGCACATTGCTCTGCGCTACTTCCTTGCTCGAGAGTTGCAGCAGCGTGGCAAGCTTCGTCTTGCTTACGTGGCCTCTCAGGCCAACACTGCTGATGTTTTCACCAAGGCACTTCAGCCTTGTGATCATCAGCGTTTATGTACCTACTGTGCCTCACTTTCTTACTTCTTGACTCTGCTTGTGCTGTATCTTTATACATATACCTGCATGCTTACACTTGCTAGGTTGTGTTCGCTGTATTGTTTGTTCTCTTTTATATAACTCTGCATGTGAACTGGCCTTGTAGCCATTTGCTTGTGCTCAGACTGCGTGGTGACTTTGTGATCCACCCTGAGCTTGCTTTGCCTTTCTTGACTGGTCTTGTGACCTCTTGTTCTCCCCCACTTTGCCTATGGGGGTGTGTCAAACTTATATGCTATAGTCTGTTTAGGCTGTAGTGGGGTAGTTCTTACAGGGTACAACACTTTTAGGTTTGCTACTTGTACCCACCTGCTTTCCAGTTCAATCACTCATTCGCTCACATTTCAACAGAAACAAGGTGGACGCTGCGGCTTGAGTGGCATTGGTGTCGTGATGGCGTACTCGCCACTTGTCGCTGCAAATTCCACGTGCCGACGGGCTTCGCGGGGCTCCCGTGGGCTTGGTGTGACTCTTTTTCTCTCCATGCCAGGCATTGAGTGAGCGACGCCCTCACTGGCTACGCCTGAGCGCTGTCCCACGCTGTCCTTCTGTGTCGGTGTGCCCGACGAGATGATGATCGGCTCCTCAGATTGTGCAGGTGCATTTGTGGGTGCTGGGGCATTCACTGTCGATTGCTGTCGAGCGGAGTCGCGTTCCGCCGTGAGTGTGGCGATTTCGAGGGCCGAATCTTCGAGTTGGCGTATGAGACGGTCGAGTTGTTCTTGCGTCAGTGTCGCGACATTAAGTCCGGCCATGGCAGGGGTGTCGGGCGAGCTCAGCGAGAGCCTCTGTCGTGGCCGTGCGTGCTTACGACAGAGCACTACAAGCGGCGGTGCTTGGTCGCTGAGGGACGTCTACCCCCCCCCCAAAAAATTGAGATAGTGGGAAGCGAAGGTGTGGGTGCGGTCCGAGAGAAGATCGTAGGCTCTGATAACCAAGTGTTACGAGTGCAATTGAGTGAACGAACGAGGATTGCACTATCGAGGCAAAAAATACAATGAGCGAAAGGTTGGGCGAAGAATATATAGCGAAGCTACGGTGGTAACGGTATCGTGGGAAATTGGGGTGCGCGACGGGCCTGGTGCCAAGGTTGGGAATTGTCGAGGCGGAGGTCTGGAGCGCGGGTTACCAACCGAACCGTGAGGTTGGGTCGCATCGTGAACAGTGGCGGGAATGGTGTCGAGGCGAATTTCGCGAGTGGTAACGGAATATTGTGGGGTGCTGTCAGTGGTGTACGCGCTGAGGAGGGACGTGAAGTAAGGAGAAGGAATTTTATTAAATTAGATTGTTTTTATGAAGCTGCTGACCTTGTTCTAATATTCTTCACTACATCTGCGGATCTGTCAGATGACATGGGCTTTGATGGCCGTCTTGTTTTCGTGCAAGCTCCTCCTTACCAACCAACCGACTCAAGCCGACGCTTGGGCTCGCCAAGCCAGCAGACAGATAACTCATCAAGCAACGGCGAAGTCAAAATTTCCCGCCAAGCCAAACGGTCACCAAATTTCCCATCAAGCTGAACTTCGGGAAACACCTGCGCAACTGCGAGTGCCACATTGCCAAATCTTTCGATGCGCAAAGCGCCATTCCCCCGTGTTTTTTCGTCCCCGCGCGCTCCGAGGAAAAGGCACCCATCAATCAAGCGAAGATACCCCTGAAAATAACAGAACCCCACCGAACCAGACACAGCGGGTGCGGAGTGTGAAAATAGTTTGAAGAGAGCAAAATATCACATGCCATGGGTGGAGTCGAAAAAAGTATTCTGCGATACAGAGGGAAGGGAAATCGGGTGGTGAGGAGTTGGCAGAACCAATCACCCGTAGAAAAGCCATTAAGCATCACAATCCTGAACAATCACAACCCTCCTAGATTTTTTTTAATTGATGCTGTAAAGATTACAAGGAATGAAAAAGGATATCGGCAGTCGTAACTGACCACCCTTGGATAATCAAAACTATGGTGAGTCAAGTGGGGAGTCAAAGTGATAATCAAACCTTGCCTTCAGACAAAACATACAGAGTCATCTTCGGCTGGGGGAGGAATGCATTTCCATCTGTCTGCTTCACAAGTTAGAGGCGGTACGCGCCACGTATGAGTAGCAGGCAACTCTTCCCTAGACCCGATGCGCAAGGAAACGGCATTCCCAAATCATCCCCCCCTCTCGAGACTACCAGCTGCAGGAGACATCGTTTCAGGAGCTTCTTGGGATCATCTGAATGATGAGCCACCATCAATCCCCAAGACTACTCACAGTCAGGATTCAAAGCTGTTCACGAAATCAGAGCATTTTTTGCTGAATCCCTATCTTCCGGAAATACGCACCAAGTCGTTGATCCCGTTCTTCTAACGTTTCATAACGTAAGACCTTTGGTGGAGGTGCCAATGTAATGTGCACCAGGATAGAACGTTAGTTTGCGTTTGAGGTATCTGGAAAGTCTAGCTTGCACTGTGAGAAGTGGCCACAGAGTACGTTCAGGACCAGCCATTCATCGTGATTATTCGCATTTAGATAGACTTTCGTGTAGCATCCACTCGTACAAATCCGTACCACTAGATCGGTATTTAATTTTATATTTTATGGCGCGAAAAGTATCGCAAGTAGCCGGGATTCTAGACATCCATATCATTCAGGCGGAAGGACTGCGCGAGCTTTGCGACTACGGACCCCAGGATGTGTACGCGCGGGTGCTCTGTGGTGAACGCGATGACATCGGCCGTGTGGCTCTGACCACGAAAACCATCAAGTCTGGCGGAAACAACCCGATATTTAACCAGCGACTCCAGGTCAGAGGACGGAAGAGATCGACAGTCTGGGTATGGTATGCATGACAGCTCTCGAAGCGTCCTTCCAGTTTGTTTTCAGTCTGGTTAAAACACTCTATGGGTTAGATGATGGGAGTCTGCTAGTCTGATAAACATCAAAGCTCTGATTCCGTCGTTTGAGTTGAGTGTTGTCTGTCGCTTTGGTACAAGATTGCCAGGTGATCTGACTGATTTAAGTCGAACATTACGAGTAGGCGAATCAAGCTTTAGAGCCGTCAGGCTCTTTCAGCCGAACCCACCTACCTCCTTGTCTTCTCTATTTTACAAACTTTCGCCAAGCGGATTTTTTTATTTCCCTCACGTTTCGTTGCCCCCTTATTCACGAGGTGGGCGTGTCTGAGCACGAGACGGACGTGGAGTGCGAGATATGGATGGCGAGCCACCATCGCTTTTTCAGGACGGCTCAAAACGGTCCCGCCTCACGTTTCTTTCGTCCCCTGATGTCTCTTTTCCCCACTGGCGTACCTCTACTCCCTTCAGGTGGGCGTGCCCGAGCGCGAGACGGAAGTGAAGTGCGAGATATGGATGGCGAGTCACCACCGCGGCACGACGGACGATCAGCTGCTCGGATTTATCCAGATTCCGATCAGGTCAGATTTTCATCAGGTCAACAAGGTTATGAATATGTGTTACCAGGTCGTAATTTGCGTGCGTCGTGTCTTTTAGCAGAGATTGTTTGTTTTTTTTTTTTTTTCTGATGGAGCAATCAGCTGCTTGGTTCTGTTCGTCAGACGAGTTTTAATTGCCTTGGGTGCTGCTTTTCCCCTGAAAATTTCCAAGACGCTTATGCATTCGCGTTTCGCGCGAGTTCGTTGCCGCGAAATCATGGCTTTCCAGTCGAACAGCTATACTGAAATTTTCCTCGAGATCTCATTGAGCTAATAAATTCCTTCTCTAAGTCCTTCCTCGAACTTCCTTACGAATCCACTGCATTTTTGGTGAAAGGAGAACTAGTTCCATTTTCCACTGCATCTCCCTCGGTCCTATGCCTTTTTCCAGACGTCACTAAAGGGCTTTATGTACAAAGCTGTGAATGGCTCTGTTATTGCTTCACCCAGGCCTCGATGGTGTCGACTCAAAGTTCACCTATCTTCACCCCTCTTTGTCACCTTTCTCTCTTCTCCTTTGTTTGCCCCTGCCTTGGAACAGAGACATCACGGAAAGAGGCAAAGCCGGCGATCAGGAGTTTTACCTGCGAGCTTTCGACGAAGTTGGTAACCTGTTCGCCAGTTCCGCGAAAGTTCGCATTTCCCTCTCGTACCACCCGCGGCCAGGCAGCGCAACCCCCACTGGCGGAAACACTCCCGCTTCTAAGGCACGCGGAACGCCCTCCAGCGCAAAGGGGAACATTCTCGGGCGCGCGCTAACCGCAGCATTCTCCCGCATCTCCGCGGAGAGGGCTGCGGAAAAGGGAGCGGAAAAGGGCGGCGGCGGCGGTGGAATTTCGGGCTCTCCCGCAGGAACCCCCGTCCGCGCGCAGTCGTTCTCCCGCATCCACCCGGAAACTTTCAGCAGCGCCGTCGGAGTGGGAGGTGGAGGGGGAGGGGGTGGGGGAGGGGGAATGCCCGGGGGAACTCCAACCGGAACGCCCGCGCGCATCCGCGGAGAAGAAGGGGGGCTTTTAGCAGGGGGGCCGACAGTGCAAGGCACTCCAGGGGGGCCTCTCACCGGTGCTGGAGCTACTCCGGTGGCTACACCTGGCAATACACCTGGCCGGGCGTTGGCGAGCTTACGACTAGCGAATTTGACGTTCACGCCTGGAATTCAAACGCGCGAGGCCATGTCATCGCATGGCCCTAGTACGCTGCAGCGGCCGCGGCCCATGTCGCCACGGTCGCCGGCGTCGCCCAGGTCGCCCATGTCGGAGGTGCGCGACGGTCTGCGACACGGGCTGGATCTGGTGCAGGCGCTGCGCGAGGTTACCGAAGGCGGTGCGAAATTCGCGAACGCGAGCAACAAGAAGCAAAAGTCGAAGTCGGGGCCGCTGAGCGTGAACCATCCGTACATGGAGGTGGTGGATCTACAGCGCAAGCATAAGTATAAAGCGCAATCCGGCCCGTTATTTGACAACGGAGATACCTATGACGCGGATGGGGGAGGCTCCGGAACCTGCAGCCCCTACAGCTCCCGCCGCCCCGCGTCCTCCTCCCCCCCGAGGCATGTGCGCAAAATGATCCTCCCCCACCGCTCCGCCACTCCGCCCATGTTCTTCCGCGAGGCCCCGCAACCCCCCCATTCTGGGGGAGGATTCATCCTCGGTAGAAGCGCCCCGTTAAACCCAGAAGCGCTTGACCTCTGGGAAGGGGGAGAACCCCCACCAGCGGTATTTACCTCGATGTCTGGGCCGTTAAGGCTGCAGGGTAATTACTCGGGATATAAACCGACGTCGGGGCCTCTACCCACCACGACATCTCTAATGAAGCTCGATTCTTTAGACACTCCGCCGACTCTTCCCCCTCCGCCGTCTCTCCGCGCAATGCGGCGGGGAGGCGTGGCGGGGAGCGGGCTGTTCTCGCACTCGATTGTTAGCGGGAGTGCTTATAGCGGGGCTGCATTAAGCGGGGGGGCGTTTAGCGCGGGAGCGGGGAGCATGCAGGAGGCGAACAGCTCTAGCGGCTGCCACGTGGGATCCACGGGCGATGACGTGTCATCCAGTATGACAGGCTCGGGGATGACAGGCTCGGGAATAACAGGTTCGGGAAGGATGCTTCGGCGGCAGGTATCTGGCGGCCGGCAAGGGCCAGGCGTGCAACACGGGCTCGGCGGACGAACAGGGGGAAGCGGAGCTATGGGCGGAAGTGTAGGTACGTGGGGGAGCGGAGGGACCGGGGGAAGCGGAGGCATGGGGGGGAGTGAAGAGACGGGGGGAAGCGGAGGTATAGACGCATCTAGAGGGGCCGTGGCGGGCGAGTTTGGCAGCTTCGGCGGCGGGTTTGGGGCGGGCGGATTTGGCAGCTTCTCCAGCCTGGCGTCTCAAGGGTCAGTGAAGGCCCAAGGCAGCTTCAGCGGCGTTCATGGTGCAACTACCTCCTCGGGCCTAAGAGGAATGCCTAAGAGCCTGCAGCGCGGGGGAAGCGGGGGGAGCGTGCAGGACGAGGGCGGGGGGGAGGCGGAAGGGACGGGGGGTGAGGCAATGGGATTGGCAGGAGGGTATCACGGAGGGGAGACGGCGGAGGGGGAAGGATTTGTGGTGGGAGCGGGCTTAGAGGCGGTAAATGACGTGGCACTTTTTCTGCCAGAGGGGCGAACCTTCGAGGAAATGCTGATGGAGGAGAAAGACACGGGGCAAGGAAATGTTGCTGCTGCTGGTGAAAACGAGGGCTTCGAGACGAGCCATATGCTGATGGACGCAGCAGGCGCATTGGATGTCTTCCCCTTGCCAATGCCTGAAGGGTTTGACACTATGGGGTGGGATGACGCGGCTCAAAAGCCGTTGCCAATTCCTGAGGGGTTTGACACGATGGGATGGGATGAGATGGAGGTCTCAGAAAATGGGGCCATTGCGGAAAATAGAGGAATTGCGGAAAGCGAGGGGTTGGCGGAAGGAAATGCGGCGTGGGGGGATGAGTCTCTGGCGGTGCGCGGAAGGGGGGGTGATGTGGTGGGGAATGGAAGCAGCATCATGGTGAACGAGCCTGGTGTGCAGCAACAGCAGCCGCAGTATGTGCTGCAACAGCAGCAACATTACTCCCAGCAGCAGCAGCAGCAGCAGCAACAGTACCACCGCCAGCAGCAGCAGCACCACCACCAGCAGCTCCAGTACGAGAACCACCAGCAGCAGCAGCAAACTGAAATTCCACTTGAAATCCTACCAGATGCTGTTCCGCATCCGCTGGTCGCATCATCCTCGTCCTCCACTATCCCCTGTGGATACATCCCTCTCCAGAAATCCCCTGTTTCAAATGCCAGCCTTGTCTCAGGGCGCAGTGCACATCCTTCCGTGGCGTCAGCAGCAAGGCTATCCGCGCAGCAGAAGCTGTGGCAGCGGCGGCAGCAGCAGGGAGTAGGAGGGGCAGGTGGTGGGGGCTTGAGGCATATTGGCGGAGGAGAGAGAGAGCAGCTGGAGCAGCAGCAGCAAATGATCTCACAGCTGCAACAGCAGCAGCAGCAGCATCAGATGAGCCCTCAGCAGCAGAATCAGATGAGTCCGCAGCAGCAGTGGAATCAGCAGCAGCAGCATCATCAGATGAGCCCTCAGCAGCAACAGCAGCAGCAGCAGCAGCAGCAGCAGCAGCAGCAGCAGCAGCAGCAGCAGCAGCAGCAGCAGCAGCAGCAGCAGCAGCAGCAGCAGCAGCAGCAGCAGCAGCAGCAGCAGCAGCAGCAGCATCAGATGAGCCCTCAGCAGCAACAGCAGCAGCATCAGATGAGTCCGCAGCAGCAGTGGAATCAGCAGGAACCGGCACCACCTCCACCTCAGAATGGCTGGCCACATCAGCAACCCGCCGCCCGGCAGCAGGCATTCCAGGTGAGCCGCAGTGCCTCTTCCCCTCACTGCTTTTTCTCTCACTGCCTTTTCCCTCGCTGTTTTGAGGTGGTCTAACTTTGAAAACAAGTCCCGGTTTGGGACTTGAGCTGTCACAAAACAAGCTGCAAACCTCGTTGCTGGCTTCCCTCCTGCCCTGTTCCTCGCTGTTTTGAGGTCTCTGGGTTTGAGAGTTGAGATGTCGCACTCTACGCGTCTTAAAGCTTCAGACGTATCAAAGAAAGTTGCAAACCTCGATCCAGATGATATCAGTGCCTTTTTCACTTGCCGTTTTGAGTTTTTTTGGTTTGCGACTCGAGACATCAAAGTCTGTCCGTCTTAAAGCTCCAGACCTCTCAAAACAATAAGTAAACCTCGTTTCAGGTGAGCCTCCCAGCCTTTTCCCTCGCTGTTTTGGCATGTCTGGGTTTGAATCTTGAGACACTACAGCCTAATTGTCGTTTCTCTCCAACTGGCTGCCCCATCTCCCCTCCCCATCCCCTAACATTACATTTTCCAGCAACAACTGGCACAGGCACAGCAGCCTTCATCAGCAGCAAACCCCCACCACCCAGCTGTCTATACATGCCCCAGTGACAACCAACAAAAGACAGCAGATGCCGGCCAGGTGGGCTGCTTACACCTCAGTGCTGGTGCTGGCGACACGACAATCCCCGGTGCTAGTGATGTGGTCGTTCTGAGCGATACAGATGAAGAGATGGACGCTGTGCTTCGCTCCATCATCAAGCCAAACAGCAGCAGAGGCGGCAGTGGTGCTGGTGGTATCGAGAGTGGTGCTGGTGGTAACGGCAGCGGTATTGGTGGGAATGGCAGCAGCAGTAGCAGCAGGAGGAGGAGCCTGTCAGCGTCTCGGGTAATCAGCATCAGCAGTGCAGCGCTGCAGGAGCAGCAGAAGCTGCTGCAGCAACAAATGGAAGCAGCTTCGGTGGCACCGTTTCCTCATTCCCAATCCACGTCCTCCCTGCCGCATCAGCCGCCAGTCAGCCCGGTCAACCAGGTCAACCCAGTCAACTCGGTTAGTGTGAACCAGCAGCTACAACTGCAGACACAGCGAAACTATCAGCAGCAGCAACAGCAGCAGCAGCACGGTCTAAGCATCATCCCAGGAGTGGTAAATGTTGACACGGCAGCAGCCACAGTGGAGGGCTTAGCACAACCGTTCTCCCCCCCTTCGGACGTCCCTCCCTTCAGTGCATTCGATGGTGCTCTCTCCAACCCAGCGACAGCAGAGAGAGGATACAGAGCGGGACCAACAGCATCCACAGGAGTCGCTCTAGTGGATACCAGCAATGCTGGTGGTGTTGGTGGTAGGGGCATGGGCGCTGGCGTTGGAATTGGGAGGTCTGGCTTGGGTGGTGGTAGTGTGGATGGGAGTGGGGGTAACACTGGTGTCAATATTCTGCAGAAGCAGCAGCAGCAACCATACCTGCAGCAGCACCATCAACAGCAGCAGTTGGGTCAGCAGGGTGAGCAGGAAGGGCATGTGATGGGCGTGTGGAAGGTTTATGACAACCAGCTTCTGTCTGGTAACCAGCTTCTTTCAGACAACCATATCCATGCACCTTCCTCGCTGTCGTCTCCTGGGTTTAGCGTGGCAACAGGAGCAGCTGCAGGGAGCCCTTTGCATCGAGCGAGGGGTGTTGGGCGGAGGTCAATTGGAGGGGGTATCGGTGGGGGTATAGGAGGAGCGATAAGAGGAGGAATAGGAGGGAGAGACAGTGGCATCGAAGGTGGTGGTGCTGTCACTGTCATAGCTCCTGCTGCTGTAGGTGTGGTGGCTAACGCAGCAGCAGCACCCATGGCTGCAATGCAGTATGCCTGAAGGGTTTTGGTGTAAGAAGGTGAAGTGGCTTTGTGGCAGGTGTGGCTATGTGGCAAGTGTGGCTATGTGGCAGGTGTGGCTATGTGGCAGGTGTGGCTATGTGGCAGGTGTGGCTATGTGGCAGGTGTGGCTATGTGGCAGGTGTGGCTATGTGGCAGGTGTGGCTATGTGGCAGGTGTGGCTATGTGGCAGGTGTGGCTATGTGGCAGGTGTGGCTATGTGGCAGGTGTGGCTATGTGGCAGTTGTGGCTATGTGGCAGGTGTGGCTATGTGGCAGGTGTGACTATGTAGCAGTGCAACTGTGCGGCAATGTGGCAGTGTGGCTGTGCAGCAGTGTGGTAGTGTGTGCATCTCGCATTTTGCTCGTTCCAAGTCCAGACGAGCTACACTTGGAGGGGAGTCGTCGTACAAACAAAGAACATGGTACCAATGCCAAGGAGCTGGGACCTGCATTTCAGTTTTCAGGGAGGGAGGAAAATAAGTTATTGTTTGTTTGGTGGAGGGGGTTAGTTACTTCAGCGCCTGCTACTTTGCTCGAAGCTCAAGAGTCGAGACAGGCTGGCCCTGATCTCAAGATTGAAGTATTGTTCTTGCAGACCGTTACACAGTCGAGTTATGCGTCTGTGCGTGGGTGCGTTTGGGAATGTAGGTGGAATCACCTTTAGTCATGAATGTCTGGCTATTGATTGAGGTTCATTTTCTGAATTAACTAGCTAAATCAAACACAGCAGCCAATAGAAAAGTCGGCAATAATAAAAAGGCACGCAATCTACACCCAGGTCCTGCAAAAATCTCCTCCCACCCAGCCGACACCACCAGAAACCCCATACACCTCAATTAGCCATGTGCTTAACCACCACCATTAATCTAACCTCCTACCCATCCACAAACAGGTCGTTCTGGAAGATCTTATTTCAGCCCTACCAGTAAGTGAACATGGTTGCACTGGGCATGCCTAATCTGAAAATCCCAACCAACCCCCATGCGTCCAAACCAATAACATAACGTTCACAAACCCCTCAAGAGTATCTCTCCTTGTGTTGTGATGTCTTACCATCTTCCACCTTGGCGTCACTTCAAGCTCTGTCGAACCTCCTTCGCACTTCACCAGTTACACCCTGCGCGGGTGATGGTGTCTAATCTGCTTATTACGGGTACCACTGCCTCCCGCTTCCATACAGGCGGCGGCGGTACATCTTGGGGGGAGACCAGGGGCGTCCGCCTCCATACAAGCGGCGGCTGTACATCATGGGGGGAGACCAAGGGCGCCCGCTCCCATACAGGCGGCGGCTATACATCTTGGGGGGAGACCAGGGGCGCCCGCTTCCCCATAGGCGGCGGCTCATCTTGTTTTTTCCGCCCGCCAGTGCGCCGTCGCCGAGGGGAGCGATCGGGTGCGGCGGTTCTGCGCGGATCTCCACCACGGGACGCTCTAATTCGCGCAACTGCACTCCGCTGCTGCTGTGCGCGTGGGGGTCCATCGCGCGCAGCATCGCTCCACTTGATTCGGGGCAGTAGTCGTATCCTCTGTCATAGGAGTACTGACCAACCCAGTACGGCGGAATCCCGTCGAACCCACCCCCGTTACACTGCGGGTAACCAAAATCGAGACAATCGGAATTTCCGGGGCACTGCAAGACAGTGATTCCCCACTGGGTGTCATGATCCGTGTTGGCCTGTATGCCGGCGCTTAACTCGTAACCGGAGAGGTCTATATCGCAGCAACGCGGGAGGTCGTGCGCGTTCCCCTCGCAGTCCTCGCAGGTCAGCGCGCCGGCCTGAACACGCGTGCACTCTCCCGAGCCGTCCGTGGAGTAACCGCCGCCGTAGAGGCACGAGTAGCGCCAGCCGTCGCCGTTACAGAAGCTCAGGACGGCGACGTTCTCGCGGACCTCGTTCGCGCAGTCGAATTCGAACGCACGCACCGGAGTGAGCGGGAGGAGGAGGCAGGAGAGGAGGAGAGTCGCGAGGAGTGTTCGGAGAAACGCGCGAGGAGCGTTTCTGGCCGCCATCGGAGCTAGTGACGCGTCGCCGGTACCAGCTGATGACGCAAACGATAAAAAACGAAACCTGCTATTCGTAAGTACTCAACGAATCAACAAACGTGGTATTCGAAAAAAGAAGACGTTGAGATTCTACTAACAAAAGAACGAAGAGTTGCGCAGAGGCGCTGAAGATCGCTGACGAAATTCTTGCTTCGAAGGAACCGGCTACCATGATAGCTGTGAAAGTAATCAAGCTGGGATCTGCTGAGAAATACAGGTCAGAGCGAACTAAATACTAGTAGACGCTGGACCAGTGACCGTGTGAGTTGAGGCGAAAGAGAAGCAAGGATTGTGTTGAGGGAGCCAGGGGGGGAGGTGAGTGAGGCCAAAGCCCCGTGCAAATGAGCTGATGTGTTTCTTGGGTTAGGAATGAAAATATGAGCGAGTCTATCACGACAGCAATGCACGGAATGCGAATCGCGCCGAGTCACCTTGTTCGCCGTGCGACGCCACGCATACATTTCGCGTGTTTCTCCCGAGTCTGGCTGACCCTTGCTTTTCGCAAGCTTGTTTCGCGCGTTTCTTACCGAGTTTGTTCAGGGGCAGGGGCCAACGGGACTAGCCCTCGGGCCCTGTTCGACTGGCGCATCAGGTGAATGCTCGGGAACGGCTACAGTAAAGCGTGCTCCCTCGAAGCTTCTGAGATAAACGGACAACTGCTGACTCGGGTCTGGGATCAGCTGACTCGGGTCTGAGATAGGCGCATGAGCACCGAAGCGAACTGGTGCAGGATGCCAACCGAACACCCTTTTTGGCCCCCCGTTTGGGAACCGAATGTGCGTTCCCGGTACCATCCTCTCCTGGTAAACCTAAGCACCACTGATGCGCGCATGGTGCATCCGTGGAGAGCTAGCACCATGCGCGCGCACCAGCTGATGCGGGGCAGCACCAGCTGATGTGGGGCAGCATAAGGTGCCCGCCAAGTTGAACACCCCCCGAGTTTGACAAACTCGACCCACACAATTGCCCGCTCTCTAAAAGTCAAACACCCACCGTGTTTGACAAACTTGACAGACCAATAGGACCAATTTGACAAGCCCCAAACCACTTCCTCTCGTTCGAGCACCACACCCGAACCAACCCTGGTACCCGAGCACCACCAACGAACCTGTGCTGGTACCCGAGTCTAAACCCTGATGCGCCAGTCGAACAGGGCCTCGGTGATGCTCTGTTACGGCGTGAATGGCTGGCGAAGGCCGACTTTGCGAAGAATCTATCTCCGCTGGCACTATCGCAGCTGATGTTGACTTCATTGGAGACACGTAGTCAGTGCCCTTTACAATCGTAATCGCTAATCACCAATTATACTATAAGCCCCCATAAAATAATCCCTGCAACTTTCTTTAACCTGAGATGAAAGAGAGTAGTTCTAGGATGGTGATAACTTCAATCTATAAGCACAGGTGTGGATTCATGACATATTGAAATAGAAAATAATAATATATAGACAATTAGAGGGACTAATTTTCAGTTATGCAAGTGATACGGACCCCTTACCAAATTGTCTTTCACATCGACCCAAAATGACTTTTCTTGAGTCCACCCAAAGTGACCTTAGAGTTGATTCGAAAGATACATACAACCAGCAGCTCACATGTAGTACTGCATTGCAGTAGTTATGGGTGGTTCGGAGAACACGCTATAGATGCTGGTCACAACAATGAGAATTAGATACATAGTAGTGACCTGAATATGTCCGACCAACATGCTCCACTTGTGACCACAACACACGCTATAAATGCGCACGTACAGATAAGAACCACAAAATATGTAGAATCACTAACCCACCCATAACAGTGCGGTGCTGTAGCCATGGGGCATTCAAGAGGATCATGCCATGGGGAAATCAGGCTCATGCCATGGGGAAATCAGGCTCATGCCGTGGAGAAATCAGGCTCATGCCATGGGGAAATCAGGCTCATGCCATGGGGAAATCAGGCTCATGCCATGGGGAAATCAGGCTCATGCCATGGGAAATCCAGTAGAGAGAAGAACCACAAAATACGTAGAGTCAGAATCCCACACATAACAGTGCGGTGCTGTGGCTATGGAGAAATCAGGCTCATGCCATGGAGAAATCCAGTAGATGTCAACAACAGAGCGGGGTGGGGGAGGAGGAGGAAGAAGTGGACGAAAGGGGAAGAGGGAAGAGGGTCATCCTGCAAGCACTCGCAGGCTAACATGCTCCCAGGCGCACAGTCACAAGAGTCAGTCATTACCCACTCACCATAGCAGTTGGCCGCTGTTGCTCTGGCGAAATCGTTTTTTTTTTAGAATTCTCACAAGAGGCAGTCAGTCACTACCCACTCACCCGTACCAGTTTTCTGCTGTTGCTCTGGGAAAATCAGCATGCTTTGGGGCAATCAGCATGCCCTGGGGCAATGAGCATGCTCCTCCAGTGATTGGATATCGAAGGCAGATCGAGGCGGGGGAAGGGAGGGGGGTGCACGCCCCCGGCAGTCAGAGGCTCACTGTTGAGGAGGTGTAACGGTAACCACTCACCCGTAGCAGTGTGCTGCTGTGTCAGGAGTTTGTTGAGAATGCTTACAAACCACCTGCAGCTACCCACTCACCCGTACCACACTCCTGGCAGTCACATGCTCACTGTTGAGGAGGTGGGCAATCACACAGCCTATCCAGTGATTGGATGTCAAAGACAGATCAAAGGGGAGGAGGAGGAGGAGGAGGAGGAGGAGGAGAGGGGAGACAAGAAAGAAGAGTGGAGCAAACACTCACAGGCTCACAGGGTCACATCCCGAAGTGACAAAACGTTACCCGCTCACCCGTAGAAGTGTGCTGATGTGGCTATGGGGCGATCAAGCAGCCCGTCTAGTGGTTGGAACTTGGATGTCAAAGACAGAGTGAGACGGGGGAGGTGGTGGAGGAGAGGTGAAGGGGGAATAGGAGAGAAGAGGAGAGAGGAAATTGTTGCAAACACTCACAGGTTCACAGAATCACATTCACAAAGACACAACATGTTTCCCACTCACCCATAGCAGTGCGCCTTTGTGGTGAAAGGAACTAGTTCATGTCCCATATCGAAAGGTACTTTCAAGTACAACTCCCAAACACACTGAATGCGAAAATTATAAGAATTGTCCGTAACTGGGGGGATTACTTAATATGGTCAAGATTTCAGGTCTACAAGTGATGAGGAACACTAACAAAAATAAAAAATAAAAAATAAAAATGAAGTAGAGACTCGATATGGCAGAAACATAATGAAGTATAACCGTGGTAGATACAGTTGTCAGTCCATCTGCCACTACACTACCGCACCAGAACAGATGGAAGGCTACCGGCTGTACACTTGTAAAGAGACATGAAGGGAGAAAGACAGATAACTGTTATGGAAAACACACAAGAGATCTTCGCTCCATAGATGCACAAACGCGGCCAGATGGCTTCCGGAGTCGACCCAAAGTGACCGTAAAGTTGACTCAAAAGATACATAGAATCAGCAGGTCACTTGTAGCTTTGCGTTGCATTAGGGGATAACCCCCTATGAAGTGATTCACATACACGCTATCGATACTGCTCACTACGGTGAGATTTATCACAAGTGACCAGAATTTGTCCGGTCAACAAACTCCTCCAGTGATTCACAACACATGTTATAGATGCTCGCAGCAGATGGGAACGATAGAAGTACATAAGATCACTGTACTAACTCACCCATGGGTAGCTGTGCGCTGCTGTGACTATGGGCTGGTCAAAGATGTTAACAATACAAGCTACAGATCCTCACTAAAATTGAGAACTACATACAGAGCATAAAGACTATGTACGCATTTTTTGGTGGTTATAAACACTCCCGTAATAGGGGGACACCGACATGCTCATGCTACAGGGAAATCAATATGCATGTTAGGTGGTTACAAACAACCAATTTCGTATTAAGCGACCGCTTTGCGACACTTCACAACTGTAGGGGATCCCTTACTCACCAAATGAATGTGATCCCTTAATCTCTTATTCTCACCAAACTTGTTCGGAAGTTATATGTTACGAGGGCCGAAAATGCGATTTAAGTTATTCACCAGTGGCAGTGCGTTGCTGTGGCTATGGCGCGATCAAGCAGCTCATCCAGTGTTGGATGTCAAAGACAGAGGGCAGGGAGAGGAGCATGCGGTAAACACTCACAAACCCACGGATACAAGAGACAAAACATTACCCACTCACCTGTAATAGTGTGCGGCCGTGGCTAAGGGGCGGTCAACAATCTCGTCCTGTGATTGGATGTCGAATACAGAGCGAGGATGGGGAGGAGGAGAGGAGAGGGTCGAAGAGGAGAGGAAGAGGGCAGAGGGATGTTGGACACATACTCACATGTATCAGTGCGCCGCTGTGGCTATGGGGCGACCCACAAGCTCCTCCAGTGATTCACAACACACGCCACAGATAAGAATCACAAAGTAGGTGAAAATAGTAACTCACCCGTAGCAGTGCGCTGCCATGGCAGGAGGTTGTTGAGAATGCTTACAAACCACCTGCAGCTACCCAGTCACCCGTTGCAGTGCGCTGCCGTGGCTATGGGTCGATCCACAAGCTCTCTCCAGTGATTGGAAGCCAGAGTCAAAGCAAGGCAAGGGAGGAGGAGGAGAGGGGCATTCTGCAAACACTCACAGGCTGCTCACATGCCCACAGATACAAGACACAAAGCATTACCCACTCACCCGTAGCAGTGTTCCGCTGTGGCTATGGTGCGATCCACAAGATCCTCCAGATAAGAACTACGAAGGTCATCGAATCAGTAAACCACTCATAGCAGTGCGCCGCTGTGGCTATGGGGCGATCCAAAAGCTCCCCCAGGGACTGGATGTCAAAGAAAGAGCCATTGAGACGAGGGAGGAGGGTTGAAGGCAAGGTGCTGGTTGAAATGAGAGTAAAAAAAAGCGCCTTAACTGTTGTGAGTGGGTAGCAGAGGATGGAAGGGGACACAGAATACCAATGGAGAGGGGGGGTGAGGGAAGAGTCCGCCGGCAGTGAATGGATTAGGAGGAGGAGGCTGATGGCGAGGTGCTTGTTGAAGTCACAGTCATACAGATTGCCTTGCCTGTAAGGGAATACCGAATAGGAGGGGAAAGGGGAGGAGAGGTGAGAGGAGAGTCCTTTGCAATGGATGGATTGGGAGGAGGAGGCTGAGGGCGAGGTGCTGGTTGAAGTCACAGCCGGAGAGAGATCTTTGCCTGCAGTGGGATGCCGAGTTGGGAAAGGAAAAAGGGAGAAAGGGTGGGTGCGGTTGGTTGAAGTCACAGTCGAAGAGGGAGCCTTGCTTGTAAGAGGGGAGGGGAGCAGAGGATATAAGAGCGACTGAAATGGGGCAGTCCGCCCTCCAAGAAAGGCGCTCTCTGAAATGAGTAAAAGAGAGCGCCTTGCTTGGAAGGGGATGGGGTGAGAAGGGGAGTCGAAAGGAGAGGTGGCAGTCGGTTTTAGCGGGTGGTGTTTGGGGAAGGCTGAGGGAGAGGTGCCTAGCGAACTCACGGCCAAAGAGCGAGCCTTGGCTGTAAGAGGGTGGGTACACACAATAAGAAGGGAAGAGAGAGGGGGTAGCTGGGTGCAACGTAGGGCTTGGGAGGAAGGCTGAGGGAGAGGTGCCTGGCGAACTCACAGTCAGAGAGCGAGGCAGAGGAGAGAAAGGGGGAGGTGGGAAGAGCGATTGACATGCCTCCAAATCCTTACAGCTATGCCCTCTACCCATCCTTATCCCCAGCACCAACTTACCCCTGGCAGCCCCTTACCCCCATCCCCTTACGTGACTGTTGGTATGACATCAAGGATAAGAGGGCAAATGAAAATGAGAATCAAGCAAACCTGAACCAACCCTCAGTTGCACCAGAGGAAATACATACCATTCAAAATGCATGTATACGCTAAGGTATATGAAAGACACACACGCACGGAACCGACTTTCAGCCGCACCAGACCTGAGACATATCTGAAACTACCCTCAGCAACACCGAACCTGGGGCGTACCTGAACCGAACCTCAGCCGCACCAAACCTGAGCTGAGGCGTACCTGTACCGACCCTCAGCCGCACCGGACCAGAGGCATAGTCGAACCAAACCTCAGCCGCACCAGACCTGAGGCGTGCCTGAACCGAACCTCAGGTCCGAGCTGAGGCGTATCGAACCGACCCTCACCCGCACCGGATCTGAGGCGTACCTGAACCAAACCTCAGCCGCGCCAAACCTGAGGCGTACGTGAACTGATCCTCACCCACACCGGACCAGAGGCATAGACGAACCGACCCTCAGCCACACTTGACCTGAACCGACCCTCAGTTGCACCAGACCTGAGGCATACCTGACTTGACCCTCAGCCGCACCGGGCCCGAGGCTTACCTCAACCAACCAACCCTCATCCGCACCAAACTTGAGGCGTACCTGAACCAACTTTCACCTGCACAAGACCCGAGGGCGTACCTGAACCGAACTTCAGCCGCACCGGACCTGAGGCGTACCTGAACCGGGGCGATGGGAGGAGGAATGGGAGGGTTGGGAGGAGGAATAGGAGGAGGGAGAGACAGTGGCGTTGAAGGTGGTGGTGCTGTTACTGCCATAGCTCCTGCTGCTGTAGGTGTGGTGGGTAATGCATCAACAGCACCCATGGGTGCAATGCGGAATATTGAAGGGAGAGGTGGGGGAAAAGGTGATTTTTTAGTCGACTCATTAGTCACCCCGATTGACATGCCACTAGCACCCATTGATATGCCACTAGGACCGATTGACATGCCACTAGGACCGATTGACATACCACTAGGACCGATTGACATACCACTAGCACCGATTCACATGCCACTATACTGATTCACATGCCTCCAAATTCGTACAGCTGTGCCCTTTACCCCCTCCTCACCCCCAACACCAACTTACCCCTGGCACCAACTTACCCTTGGTAGCCCCTTTCCCCCTTCCCCTTACGTGACTGTTGGTGTGACATCCAGAACAAGAGGGCAAATACGTACCATTCAAAATGCATGTATACGAAATTGTATATGAAAGACCCACATGCAGGAATTAGGTAAAGAAAATGAGAATCAAACAAACTTGAACCGACCCTCAGCCGCACCGGATCAGAGGTGTACCTGAACCGAACCTCAGCCACAGCAGACCTGAGGCACACCGGTATGCTTGAAGGGCAGTGGTGTGGGAGGGTGAAGTGGGGCACGACAGGCCAGGCTCTGTGGTTCCGCAATGAAGAAGAAGTACACTCACTCCAATGGGAGTAGAACTAATACAATAGAAGTCCCGTAAGCAGTAAAACTTCTGCTGTAGAAGTTCCACAAGCAGTAATGTCAAGGTTCCATAGGCGGGTTGATGTGAACCACCAGATCATAACACAATAACATCCATATGCTTTTCATGCATGCTTGGCTAATGATTTGAGTGTTCACCTTATGAAAAAATTATCTCAAGCAAAGAAATGCAACCAGAAATGCAATCTCACAGCAGCAGAAACCAAGGCAATGACAGTAAAGAGTAAAGTAACTGTCAAACTTATATATGCTATAGTCTGTTTAGGCTGTAGTGGGTAGTCCTTAGAGGGTACAACACTTTTGTGTTTGCTACTTGTACCCCACCTCTTTCCTAGTTCATTCATTCCTCTCATGATTCTCACATGGTATAGAGCTGGTTCGAATTTTATTTTAGGGCCCACCACTACATTTTTTTTTTTTTTTCCTTACCTGCCCAAGGCGCGCGTCGCGCCTGCCCTTCGAGGCCCTTAGTGGCCCGTCGCTGCCCCTTCGCGGCCCTTAGCGGCCCCTCTTAAGGCCCTTCGCGGCCCCTTCTTAAGGCCCTTCGCGGCCCCTCTTAAGGCCCTTCGCGGCCCCTTTGACGGCCCTTCGCGGCCCCGTCATGGCCCTTCGCGGCCCCTTTAGCGACCCGTCGCGGCCCTTCGCGGCCCCCCTTAAGCAACCCGCCGCGGCCCCTCGCGGCCCCTCGCGGCCCTTGCGGCCCCTCTGACGGCCCGTCGCGGCCCCTTTCTCGGCCCCTCTGACGGCCCCTCGCGACCCGTCGCGGCCCCTCGCGGCCCTTCGCGGCCCCTCTGACGGCCCGTCGCGGCCCCTTCTCGGCCCCTCTGACGGCCCGTCGCGGCCCCTTCTCGGCCCCCTTTTACGGCCCCCCTCAGCGGCTCCTCGCGCCCCCCTTCCGGCCCCAACTGACGCGCCCCAGCTGGCGCGCCCCCGGCCGACTCCTTCTGGCGAGCCCCTGCCGGCCTCTGCTGGCGCAGCCCCTCCTGGCGCGCCCCTGCCGGCCCCTGTGACCGAGCCCCTGCCGGCCCCTGCAAACGACCCTGCTGGCTCGGCCCCTGCTGGCGCACCCCTGCCGGTCCCTGCTGGCGCGCCCCTGCCGGTCCCTGCTGGCGCGCCCCTGCCGACCCCTGCAAACGAGCCCCTGCCGGCCCCTGCTAGCGCGGCCCCTGCTGGCGCGCCTCTGCCGGCCCCTACTGGCGCGCCCCCCCCTTACATTCCCGGCCCGCCCCTGCACCCGTTTCTGGTAAGCCGAGCCGCGCCACCCTGCCGAGCCGCGCCGCCCAGCCGAGCCGCGCCACCCAGCACTGACTTGTGCTACTGCTGCTACTGCTGCTACTGCTGCTCCTGCTGCTACTGCTGCTTCTACTACTACTGCCACTACTCTTGCTACTGCTCCTACTGCTGCTATGGCTAGTCCGACTGTTCTCACCTTTGATGCTGAGGGACGTGCAGTTGATTTTGACGTGTGGGTTGACGACCTACAGCTCTTTCTTCAGTGTGATTCTAGGGATGGGGTATCCCTTTTCGATCACACGTCAGGTGTTTCCACTGCTCTTGCTGCCACTGCTGACAGTACTGTTCGCTCGCAGTGGACCACTCGTGATGCTGTTGCTCGTCTTGCTGTTCGTAGTCACCTGCCGCCTGCTGAGCGCGCGCACTTTGGCCAGTACAAGACTGCCCAGTCTTTGTACGACGCTGTAGTTGCACGCTACTCCTCCCCTGCCACTGCTGCCCTCAGCCGCCTCATGCTGCCGTACCTTTTCCCTGACCTTGCTGCCTTTGCCACCGTCGCTGACCTAGTTGCTCACCTTCGCGCTAGTGACGCCCGCTACCGCGCTGCCCTTCCCACTGAGTTCTGTGCCAAGAACCCCCCCCCCCCCTGTACATCGCCCTTTACTACCTAGTCACCCGCCTCCCTGACTCCCTCTCTTCAGTCAGGGACCACTTCTCTCCCTTTGCCCCACCGAGCTCACTGTCGACCTGCTAGAGGAGCGCCTAACTGCAGCAGAGAAGAGTATCTTAGCTGTAGGTGCTTCTCGCGGCGACCATCGCACCCCCTTCTTTGAGGGGTGTTCCCCTGTCCCCCTTCTCCCCTCTATTGCTTCTGCTGCTGCTGTCGACCTCGTTGGCACTGAGGAGGTCGGCGCTGCGTCTGCCCCTAGTGGGAGACGCCGCACCAGCAAGGGCAAGGGGAGCAAGGGTGGTGGAGGGGGCGACGGGGGAAGCAGTGGAGGAGGTGGAGGCGGCGGAGGAGGTGGCGGTGGAGGTGGGGGTGGTACCGGGAGTGGGGGCGTCAGTGGCGGCGGTGGAGGTCGTGGCGGCGGTGGCGGAGGAGGTGGAGGCAGCGGCAGCGATGGTGGAGGTAGCGGCGGAGGTGGTGCTGGTCGAGGTGCAGCCGCGCAGCGTGGAGGCTTTGGTGGCAGCCAGCGCCAGCAGCAGCAGCGCACCCGTGAGACCCCGTCGGTTCAGCAGCTTCGTGAGTGGTACGCTGGGCGTGGGAGGTCTGGGGGTGCAGGTCCCTGCACTTACGTTCTTCGCACCGGCACTCGTAGTGGGGAGGTGTGTGGGCTCCCACACACCACGCAGCGCTGCTTCGGTCGCTTGACTAACGCTTGGCGTACTCAGTTTCCTGACGCCGTTGAGCTTCCTCGTTGGCATGATCTGCTTCTGCAGAATGTGCCTATCTTTGATCTAGACTTTGATGCTATCCTTGCTGCCATGTATGCTCTTGCTGATAGTGCTGAGGGTGACTGTTACTTGAGTGTCCCGCCCGACCCGGGCATTGCGGCTGCTGCTCTAGGTGCTAGTGCGTCTGCTGCTCCAGGTACTAGTGCGTCTGCTACTCCAGGTGCTGGTGCGTTTGCTCTCTCTGGTACTGCACCTACTGAGTCCTTGCACACTTTCACACTTGACTCTGGTGCTTCGCGCTCCTTCTTTAGAGACAGCACCACGCTCACGCCGCTCAGTCGGCCTGTTGCGGTCTCCCTTGCTGACCCCTCTGGGGGGCCAGTCCTTGCACACTCCTCCACGGTTCTACCGTGTCCTGCGGCCCCGTCGGGCTTGCTGTCGGGACTCCACCTCCCCTCGTTCTCTACGAACTTGGTGAGTGGAGCTGTTCTCCAGGATGCGTGGGTTGACCAGTTCACCCTTGGAGGTCAGCGTGTGACCCACTGCACTTGCTCTCGGACGGGCCGCCACCTGGCCACGTTCACCCGTCGGCCAGGGTCGAGTATGTACACAATGACTACTGCGCCTCCTCCGGTCCCTGCGTCTGGTCAGGTAGCTGCGTCCAGTCAGGTGTTTGCTGCCGCGTCCAGGTCTAGTCCTGCGTCTGCCCCCTGCTCGTGTCGTCCTCTGGCGCACGAGACTCTTCTTTGGCACCACCGCCTTGGTCACCCCTCCCTGCCTCGTCTTCGAGGTATGGCCTCCCGTGCTCTTGTCTCTGGACTCCCCAGGTCCCTCCCTCCCCTTCCTCCGGGGCCTGCCCCCACCTGTGTTCCTTGTGTCGAGGGCCGGCAGCGCGCTGCTCCTCACTCCTCCTCGTTTCCTCCGACTGAGGCCACTCTGCAGACTCTTCACATGGACGTGTGGGGCCCAGCCCGCGTCCGTGGACATTGTCACGAGCGCTACTTCCTGCTGGTCGTTGACGACTACTCGCGTTACACCACAGTCTTCCCCTTGCGCAGCAAGGATGAGGTCCCTGAGGTGTTGATCGACTGGATCCGCGGTGCTCGTCGCCAGCTTAGTGAGAGTTTCGGCTCAGACCTTCCTCTTCTGCGTCTGCACTCAGACAGAGGCGGGGAGTTTTCCTCCGACCTCCTGAGAGCCTTCTGTCGTTCGGTGGGCATCCGCCAGACGTTCACGCTTCCGGACTCCCCGCAGCAAAATGGGATTGCTGAGCGCCGCATTGGCATGGTCATGGACGTCGCTCGTACGTCCATGATCCATGCGGCTGCTCCCCATTTTCTGTGGCCGTTCGCGGTTCAGTACGCTGCGCATCAGATCAACCTTCAGCCTCGTGTCTCCTTGCCGGAGACCACACCTACTCTGCGGTGGACGGGGAAGGTTGGCGATGCGTCCGCGTTCCATGTCTGGGGATCTCGAGCTTTTGTCCGCGATACTACAGCGGACAAGCTGTCCTCCCGTGCCGTTCCCTGTGTCTTCCTTGGCTTCCCTCCTGACGCACCCGGGTGGCAGTTCTACCACCCCACCTCCCGTCGTGTTCTGTCCTCTCAGGACGTCACGTTTGACAAGTCGGTGTCGTACTATCGTCTCTTTCCCTACCGCACTGCCTCTCCCCCCCCCCCCCCCCGCCGCTCTTCCTGGCACCAGGTACTCCCCCGGTAGACCCCCTCCCCCCCCAGGGGCCTGCCCCCTCAGGTGTGTCCCAGGTAGACCCTGCCGAGCCGGTCGAGGTAGCTGTCGACTCAGGTGCTGAGTCTGGGGGTGCTGAGCCTAGGGGTGCTGAGTCTGGG